CTGGATCATTTCCTCAGGCGGCAGGCCTGGCACCGGGAGGTTCACACCTGCTCACTGTGGCAGCATTTTCTACCACAACCAAGAACTGGCCCTTTGCGGTTATTGTTCTGATATTTGAGAGTGTTCACTCTGGGTTGTTGGTAACTACAATTTAATAGGTTCATGACAGAGTGGAAAACTAAACTCAAGGTCTCTGAATTCTGTCTCTTCCAAGTCTCCTGCTGTATACTGGTGTTAGTGCTAATGTTCACTGAGTCCTTTTTGAGTGCCAGACACTGTGGCAAACCCTTGGGTGGCACCATCTCACACAACAGATTGGTATGGTAGGTACTATCACTGTCCTTTCTTTTTGACCCACATTCTTTGACCAAGGAAGAGAAAGAGAACTCACATTTGTTGAATGCCTGCCGTGGGCCAGATAGTTGGCAATATCATCGCCCACTGTGTTGGTCAGAATTCTGTCGCAGTTGACAAAAATCCGTTTCAAATGTCTTAAGCTTAAGGGAAAAAAAAAAGTTTGATTCATGGAATTGCGAAGTTCAGGAGCACTGGGCTTGGCTGGAGTTGGAGGCTGGAGCATTAGGACTTGGCTGGTTTGGTCTGTCTGTGTTTCCCTTGCCCTCAGTCCCTGGGATCTCCTCTCCGTGTGGTTCTCTTCCTCAGGCAGGCCCTCTGCCTCTTTCCACAGAGCAGCCTCTGGCCATGTTAGACTTACATGCCTCCACCCCAGTGGAAAGGGAATCTTTCTCCTCTAGTAGTTCCACTTAAGTCTCAACATGGTATCTCTTATTACTGACTTATGTCATTTGTCCATCCCTGGAGTCATCTGGTGGCCAAAAGAATAGAACAGTCTTGTCAGGCCTAGGTCTTGCATTTAACTCTGGAGCCCAGAAGGAGGATCAGTGCCATTGTCATCAGAACCTTGGACTGAAGCCAAACAAGGGGTGGTTTCCCAAAGGATCATCAAGACCTAAAAAAGTGAATAGGAAGTTCAGTTATAAAGCTCTTTCTGTTGCATGTGCACTGGAGCCATTTTCTGCTTCCTATTCTTTATGCGATGCTTACAGAGTTCCTGCCATGCATCCTGGTGGGCCTAGAGATTTAGAGACGATTCCCGTGGCCCTCACAGTCCATTGGAAGAGGCAGATGAGAAAATATAATAGAGTATGGGGAGTATTTGGAGAAATGTAAATCCAAGTTGCTATCACAGCCCATAGGAAGGGCTTCAGCCCAGCCTGGAATGGGGGTTGGGAGTCAGGGAAAGCTCGCTGAAGGACCTGATGTCCAAGCTGGGCCTTGAAGCCCAAGCAGCTGTAAGCCAGGTGAAGAGGGTGTGGAAGAATGAGGCTGCGGAGAAAAAGCCTGGCCTACTGCAAGCAGATACATGTGACTCAGTGTTGTTGGAGCAGATCATGAGGGCCTCACCGAAGGGAGATGTGCCTTACCCTGAGGATGATGGAAAGGCGTTGAAGGAGCCAAACTGCAGGAGGGCAAAAAGAAACACTACTGCGTCCAGAGACTGTAACATGGGCCTGCAGTCACACAGCTTGGATTTGGAGCCACAGTGCAGCACACTGTCTATCTGTGCAGCTGTGGGACATGCTTCCCACCAGCAGTGCCGTCATCTCTCAAGGTGTGAATTTGTTTTGGGGAGATTTTTATAAACTTATTTTGTGTATAAAGCACAGATAGACATATGCATAAATAGCACTGTGCGTTCATGGTACTAAAATTGGCACTGGGCAGTTAGGGGGAAAAAGTCTCAAAGGGCCACCTTAGAGGAGCTGCCAGTGAAAAGCAGGTTGAGAAATGCTGCCTTAGACAAAGACTTCTTCACCAACTTCAGTTTCCTCATCTGCAAAATATATAGTTAAGAAATGGGCCACAAGTTCACGTGAGGATCCAGTGCAAGCGATGGAAAGTGCTTGTCCTGGTGCCTGGCTCCTGGTGAATATGCAGGCATTACTTGTATTATACCAGATCTGACTTCAGGGAAAAATGGAAAATACATCTCTGGGTCCTGGTATGCCTCAAAGGAAGTTGTTTTTTAATAAAATCAAATGCACAGATCTAAATGAATTTTGTCCTTTAAATGTCATCACATTGTATCGCTGTACACAGCTTGCAATATGTCCATTGCATACAACATGCTTGAAAATAACTTTTGGAATTTCTTTATAGAGTTCATTCTTTTGAAGAATCTCAGTTGTGCAAAGTATTTATCCTAGAAATAGATAAAAGTCATCTGTTTGGAGCTAAATATAGCATAAATATAGGTTAACCAACTGAACAGAACCACTTTGGGACAAAAAAGGAAAGGGGTGACTATCAAGTTAATGAAATTGGTTTGGGTGATGCTCCTGATAGGCCTTAAAGGCAATTCCAGAGGAGGACATTCCTAAGTAACTGGGTTAAAGACATGACCCCGTTCCCTTCCCCAACCCCAGGAAACAACTCTGAAACCCAGTGGCCAGCCATACTAATTCCCAGTCGGCTGTATTAGAGAAAGGTTCATTGCTACTGCAGCAGACATACCCTAGCACCCCAGTGGCTTCATAGCACACAGAGGCTTACTTCTCACCCATGTGAGGTCTGATAGAGTTGGGCAGCCCTCTTCCACTGGTGGAAGAGCACGTAGCTCCCAAATTGCTGTAGCAGGGAAAGAAAAGTGAGGAAGGCTCCGAGTTCTCAACTCCTCGGTCTAGAAGTGGAACCCTTCACTCCTTCATTCACCACTGGCTATAGATGGTCAAGCAGCCCCAAGAACACAGATGGTGTAGAAGGAACACGTGGGTATTTGTTAAGCATTGCCCTAGTATTATTAAATATTTAGACCCATTGGCATCATTGATTTATGTATATATTTCCTGAAAGGAAGAACTTTGGAGACCAATCATTAGTCTATTTGAAATTTGACAGAAACTAAAAACTATGAGCAGAAACCTCGGATACCTGTATGTCTGAGAGACCTGAGGTATCAGTCTCGTCGGGGACTATTTGAGCAGTGTTTTTATAGGCAGCAACATGGATCTTTGGGGAGACATTTATTCTAAAATGCTTTAACTGAGATGTTTCAGGTAGGATGTACAGGTAGGTTGAATGGCCCTTGCGAAGGTCTGCCTTGAAGAGCCGTAGGAACCAGACTCTGTCATAACACAGAAGTTGCTAATCGAACTAGGAAGAAATGTGTGCAAAGTGATTTTGGACAAGGGGCAGGGTTGTGAGGCAGATACTAAAAATAAAATCAACTAATAGTTAAAGCTTTAATGGCACCCTATGTGTGCCTTAAAAATATTGCAGACCATATCAAGCATGCAGTGGTTCAGAGCTATTGGAAATAAGGGAAAAGAAATCAATTCGAAAGTTTTCAAAGTGTGCCATTTTGGCCTTATTACTTAAGATGGTAGGAAAACACACCTTTTGAATTGCATTCCAGGAGCTCCGTATCTTGGACAAGAGAAGCTGTTTATATGGCACTAATGTGCTGACGTTCCTGAAAAGACTTGGAGCAGCCCAGTTGCTGCCACTCAGAGAGAAGAGGAAAATTTTTGGAAGGTTTCTTTTTGATTTATGTAATTTGAAGTTAATGGTGGGAGAGAAGCTGTGTGCCCAGTGTCCAATCAGTGTGCTAGGGGGTGCAGCTTATTAGTTGTGCCGTAGAATAGTGTAGCTACTATGAGCAAGGCATTTCTGTCTGCTTAGAATTGTATTACAAAGATACCTTTAATTTTTTTTTTCTGTAATCCTGAGGGACGTTGCTTAGAAGGTAGTTCTTATTGCTCTGATGAGTAATGTCTCACCCCTGAAATGACTCTATGTATCTAAAGGTTCTTGAGCAAAGAACCTTTTTTTTTTTTTTTTTGAGATGGAGCTTTACTTTTGTTGCCTAGGCTGTAGGGCAATGGTGCGATCTGGACTCACTGCAACCTCCACTTCCTGGGTTCAAGCGATTCTTCTGCCTCAGCCTTCTGCATAACTGGGATTACAGGTGCCCATCACCACGCCTGGCTAATTTTTGTATTTTTAGTAGAAACAGAGTTTTGCCAAGTTGACCAGGCTGGTCTCAAACTCCTGACCTCAGGTGATCCACCTGCCTTGGCCTCCCAAAGTGCTGGGATTACAGGCATGAGCCACTGCGCCCGGCCAAGCAAAGAACATTTTATGACTATGTATCATACTAGACATGTACTCAGCAGATTACACTCCCACCTAATTAGTACACAAATCCTAGGAAATAATTAGTATTATGTTCATTTTGCAGACCAGAAAACTGAGGCTTAGTAAGATCATGTGACATGCCTAAGTCACAGGGTTAATTTTTGGTGGCCTGTGGATTTGAACCCAGCCAATTTGATTTCATAGTCCACTGTCTTAACCAGTACGTTATCTTGTCCGGAGGAGGAGGAGTGTGCCTGGAGGCATATACTTCCCTCCACAGCCTACTTTATAGTGTGTATCAAAAACACTCTCTGGGAAAAGGGGATGTCTCCGCTGCTGTACGTGGCAGTAGTAAGGCCAGATATAAATCATCCTTTGTTTTGGATTTGCCAAAATCACGTGGAAGAAAACTTAAAATACCAATGACAGTTTCACGTGTTCTAGAAGCTGACTGATGGCATTCACTCAGTTACATCTCCATTATTTGAGAGGATTGTGATGTTGAATAATTTAACGTATTTGGTCTTAGTCCCAGCTGATCAGTGCTAGTTTTCTTGATACTAAATGTAATATCTTATTGACTATAACGCTAACCTGGAAAAAGACTTTCCAAAAGTATAGAGAAGTTTTGCTTCTCAAATTCAGCTAGGGCTGAGCTAATGGCAGATTCTGGAACAGAAAACTGGAAACTCTCTAAGTGGGAATTGTAACATCTGACCTAGGTTTGTTAAAATTTGGTAGGAGAAGGATTTCACAGCCTGATCTTGTAGATTCACTTCAGCACATGACCGAGCCATCTGTAAATTCTGTGGTAAATCAGTCAACACCAATTTAGCCATGTATGCAAGTAGGAAAAGGTCTCTCTTTTATTCAATGTCCCATCTTTAGAGTTTCAGAAATTTTGCCATGTGTTGGTGCCTCCTCATTAAGAATGCTGTTCATGAAAACAAGTGAGTTTTGTTGACATCGCAATTTTTTCTCTTCCCTGGATGTTCAGTGGGAGACAGAGTGTAATAAATATGAAGGGATGCAAACCGCAAATGTGTGGGGGATTTGTGTTGGCATAATGGAGGCTCAGGCAAACAAACAGATGCATGCGGGAGTCGAGGGTGGCGTGTGGTAACACCCCTCTCTTGCTTGAGGGATGACTGACCACATGTGCCTCACTGGAACACAGATCCCTCCTGTATTGCCGCAGTAGCAACAATGACACCAGAGCTGCTGTCAGCCCAGGCACATGCTCTTCACCCATCTGCGCTAACGGCCGACGCTTCCGAGTCTACTTGATGACGACTGGATTTTGGTGTAGGTGTTTGTCCCCTTTTCACCCCAGCAAAGTCACAAAGGAGACGGGTGTCATAAGAATGATTTCTCCCATGCAGGTGACTGTGAAGCTACAGGAAAGGGGAAACACCCCTGCTAATATGCAGCAGTAATGGCTGAATTAATACAGAGAACACCTTATGTTACTGAATCCTGCAGCAGCCATGCGTGGTAGGCAAGGCGCATCAGGGTCTGCATCATGCTTGTCCCAAAAGAGGAAAGAGTTTCCAGAAGGGGGAATGACTTGTCCAGGATCAAACAGCTTGCAAGCTTTGGAATTTCCCAGACTTAGGGTTTTGGGTATTTTGCTGACCTAAGACCCTTTATGGCTGGCCTCTTGACTCCTCTGTTAGTTCATTCAACATTTCTTAAGCATCTGGTTAGTTCCAGGCACTGGAGAGCCATTGAGGGGACAGCGTTCCTGCATTTAAGGGGTTCAGACCTTAGAGGAAGAAAGAAGCAGGTAAATCAAGGTTATCCCAAATAGAGGTTGAAAACTGGTGGTCTTCAGACCAGTTTTATTTAGCTGACATTTATTTTTAAATCTTGAATTATTTAGAAAATAGATTTGAGGAAAAACCTCAGTTGTCTGGCTTCTTGTAATAAACTGGAAAATTTAGCAACATTGTTCCCAGATTCCCTTGTGTCATTGGTGGCTGGATGGAGCCATGATGGCCCACTGTTGAGAAGCACTCCCTTGCCAGTTTGCCAGTCCCTGCCCTTCCCGCTGTTCCTTGCCTGTTGGGCCACTGTGGGTGGTTGAATTTGCATTCCCCTGGGTTGCAACAGTGATAAAGGAAAATAGCATGGTTTGGGAGAGACTCTGACCACAGCCAGGGTTAGGTGAGGAGGAGAGGGAGCCAAGAAGACTTTCTTGGAAGAGAGAATGTTTGGGCTGTATTTTTTACAAAGCAAAGAAAAAGAAAAAGTGGTCCAAGCAGAGGTCGCTGTGTAGGAGATGACCCAGAAACACTGGATCATGGCGCATTCATTGTTTCTTAGAGCAAAGTCTGCCAAACTGCCCTTCCTTCATGCAAAGAAAAGTCCACTGTTAGGAGTACAATCAGATTCTTTGCTGGAAGATTCTACATGTGCAAAGGCACTGGGTCAGTCCTAGTTGCTGAGTGTCCTTTTAATGCTGAGGGAGAGAGTGAGAATCTAAAAGGTAGGTGTATATAAAACTTTCTCTAATCTGGAAAACTCTGAGCTTCTAAGTCATTATTTTTCATGGGTTTGTGTGATCACCTTTATCTTTTCTACCAACAGACCATTTACTGGACCACAGGTATTCTGGCACAGGTATTTTTTTCTTTTAAAACTGGTGAGTTTGCCATTCTTTTCTTTTTGGAACCCGTATCTGTGGCCATATTTCAAGACTTTTTTTTAATCATTAGGAATGATTTTTACAATTCAGCTTTCCAAAGCTTGACAATGTGTCAAGCCATTGGGGAGAGCTCAGGCGCGTTCTGTGATGCCAAAATATGGCTTGCCTCAGAGGGTTTGAGTTTATGATGACACCGTGGTGTTAAACTATCTTGCTCTGAGATGCTAAAAGGGATGGGGGCAGGGAGTCTTTTGAGGTCCCCAGCTGTTCCTGGAGGTGGTCACCTCCTTTTTTTTCTTTCTCCATATGACTGTGGTTGAAGGTCTGGTTCACATGGCAGCTAAAGCTGCCGGTCCCAGGCAACTTTTTGCTCAATAACTGTTTCCCAAATGGCTACTCAGGGGCCTTTCAGAATTCACGAGAGCTGTCAGTTGTTATAGTAACCGCCCCCCTGCTGTCGAGTTGGCCCTGAGATGCCAGTGGAAGCTCTTGGAACAAGCCAACACATAGTCATTAGACAAAAGCAGAAAGAGATTCACTGCTAAAGGTTGCCAGTTAAACATGCTCCATGATACTTAAAAAGCTGGACTGATTCTGTTAGGGAAGCGGTGGGTGGGTAAGTTTTTAAACCGAGCTCATTTTTCAGGAAAGGGAAACTCCTTGTATGTTCAGTCTATTCTAGGTAACAACCATCTTTCTTTGGATTTCTCAGAATTAACTGTCTTCTCCCCCCAGGGTTGATTATGTCCATTCTGCTGGGTTGCTCAGGTGGCCTCAAATATCTCAATTATTCAAGATATTAGTTATTGATTGTGTGGCATTTGCTTCTCAGCAAAAGTGTTGTCAGTTTACGGGTGGTAGTTTTAAGCGCCTGTGATTGTGTGTGAGGAAAAGCTGCGGGGATAGCCGGCTCCGCTCCAAAATTCCTGAAAGAGTGAATCTGGCAGAATTCAGAGTAGGGCTAAGGGTTGAGAAAAAGTCTAAATATTTTAGGAAGCTGCAAATTTCAAGTTTTTATGAGAATTTGTAAAAACATTCCAACACACTCATGATTTCTTCAGATTAATGTTCATAGCCACACTGAGTATATCCATGATGTTTGTAGGACAGTTGTTGTAGTTCCAGAATGCACTCCATAGAGGGAGACAAGAAGTTCTGTGTTACAGCAACCCCTCCCCCCTTTTTCATCGCCTTCCAAGTTTGACTTCTCAAACTTCAGGTTCCTGTGCCAAGCACTTTTACCCAACATGGAGTCTAATAATTAACACAGTACTTGAAAGCTTGAATTAAGGGTGAAGAAAACCTGACAATCAAGAATTAGAGAATGTTCATTCCTAGAAGTAAAAAACCACCAGTGGACTCAATAGTTAACCAAATGTTTACTCCTTTGGAATTACATACCTGGCTTCAGAATTCGGTGTGGGATTCAACAGAGCTTCCAAAAAAGAGAACTTCCATATAGCTGAGTTTGTCATTGCTATTTTATCAACAGAGCTTGGAAAGAATAGGAATCATTTCAGTGTGAAATCCTATAGCCCAGCTGGTTTAGGAGACTAAATATAATTAAATAAATACTTCAAGTGTTCTTGTGTGACAGAAGTGCATCTTTCAAATTCTGTAGCCAAGTCTCAGATGCTACAGTTATTTAAGTTTTAAGGGGAAACTAAATATAGGACTTAATATATAGTAATAACTTGCCAACTGCTGTTCCCATCTCCCTTAGGTGCCTCTCCTACTTATTCTGCAATCTGTATTGTGAATTAGGAACATGTTTGTTCTGAGATGAGAGGAAAGCATGGGGTAGAAGACAAAACCCCAGATTTGTCTAATGGCACCAGATTCAGAGACATTTGTGGCAGAAGGGAGGACCAAATGATCCCCAAGTACTGTTTACTCCAGTGATAATTTAAACCATTTTATTTGCCAGGCAGTGTGTCAAAGGTGGAAGAGCGGGTATATGAATGACAAGGGTCATCACTGTGTTTGTGGCATCCCAACCTTCCATTAACACCAGGGTAACAGAGGCTGCGAATATGTAAAGATGACTTACAAGAGTAAAGTTCCCACTGGGTGTTTCTTACCTCAGCATAAAAGCTGTTCATAAAGTCCAGAGAGCTTTGTGCCTAAGCATCCTCTTTTGAAAATGTCATTAACGAGGCCTGATGACGGGGTCTGTCTGTGTTAGAGGGGAGGGGAGGGCATTTGTATGGAACTCTTGGTGGCCAATTGAAAATACTGTATTCTACACCTGTTCTCTTTTGTTTTTTGTCCATTTAGAGGGTGTAACAAAATAAAGTCCAAGGGCTTTCCCAGACGTTTCCGTGAAGTGCCTTCTTCTGGGGAGAGAGGAGAGAAGGGGAGCAGGTGAGGGGCGGTCAAGCTTAAGTGGGGGGTGTCTTGATGGCCGGGACTGGCTTGCCAAATTTTTGTTTTGTTGCCATGGGGATGAAAGTCTTATAGATGGCACAGTGCTGAAGCTCACTTGTTCTACCTGAATTCCCAAAAGTAAGACTTGCAAATATCAATTCAGCTTGTGTGTAGCTGGGAGCAATTAAAGTATGTCCTGTGTGTGCTTGCTTTGCTTTATTTTGCAGTTTTGGGGGTGTTGTTTCTGGGTTTGTATGTACTGGGGGTGCTCTATGTGTGTCTGTATGTGTATTGCATCCACTTTCTTTCCAAACTTTCAGATATTTGCATGTTTTTGAGCTTTAAAAATAAACATATAATGCATGCGTTTGGCCTTATGTGAAAAATACCTCTTAGAAACCTAAATTTGTAGATAAGTTAGGGATGAAGACTAGGAAGCGGGGAGAGAAGTGAGCAAACATGGATGTACTATGTGTTTTTCCCTAAGAATGATGAAATGTTTTTTGAAAAAGGACGCACATATGAGTTCTGGACGGTTTGAATACTTGGAAAAATTATTGTCCTAGAAACATTTATAATAAATGCTTGAAACTCATGACTGTACAGTCTTAATCACCACACTTGAATCTCTTGATAATATTTCTGTAAGACCTGTCTTAGGCAAACTCTATTTAATATTAATATCTTTTAATATTAAAATGATAATTAGACTCATTCACTAATCCATATTATGTCATGAGCAGTCCCTTTTTACTTCCAATGAACCAATTTATAGGATTTATGCTAGAATTTTTATATGGAATGATTCATCTCCATTGGTTGTGTGTAAATCAGAGTACTAAGACAAAATTTTCGATATCCAATTATTATGATCAGATAAACCTATGAAATCTGAGAAGGTAAAGTTTAGGATTATGACAGATTAATGAGAAGGTACATGATCTATTTTCTTTTATACTATGCGGTACAATTTTGGCCTTCTAGGGAAAGCAGTAACTGCTAACACTGATAGCTAAATTATTCTGTGATCTCTTTTTGCTTATTAATGTCTTCACTTTCTAATATGTTTTCAAAACTCTTAGAAACTGAAATAGGAACTTCTCTGTATAGTTTTGGATTCAAAGACTAATCTTACGAGGGGAAGACTTTGGACATCACTTAAATGCCTAAGTGTCATACCTAGTTCATTCTAAATAAATGTGTTTTTGATTGTAACACGTTCAAAGAGCCAGCTGCACGTTATGAATATCACAAAGATAAATGCACATCCCATTTCAAGTCCTCCCCAGAAGTGATGCTATAGCCTGCCAGACTATTTCTTTTATGTATCTAGAACCCCACATGTCAGTGTCCCATTGTAGACATATTTTGG